AAGTAAAATGAATACTTTTTCGATATTTTTTTTTTTTTGTATAGTTGTGGATAGGAAGATGGGCTCTTCACTAATAAGGAGAAACATTGTCTTTACCACGGTTAAATATCTGACAACTAAGAGGAAGAAATGCAAAAACAAAAAATATTTTCAAAAAATGATTAGTTGTCAAATATTCATAAGTGGTAAGGATAAGATTCCTCCTTACTAGTGAAGAGTCAAGTATTTCCGTTGGGAGATACCTACTGATAAATAAACACTTAAATATTAAATTGAGGTTGTAGTTCGAAAAGTTGTTAGAAAAAAGTATTTTAATATGTACGGGATGAATTATAGAATATATATTTGGCATGAAATTGATAAAATTCAAAATAAAAAGATACTAAACCTGGTTATTATTATTATTTTTTTCTTTTTTAAGACCATTATTATTTTTATTTTTGTTATAATTCTTAAATTTTGAAATACATTTTTTTTAAGTACAACATGTGTGGGTGGATGATCGAACTCACAACCTCTTAATCGGAAATATATGTCAATTACCGCTGAACTATGTTCACTTTGACTTGAAAGAATTATTTAGTAGTCAATTAATTAATTTTGTACATTAATCCAACTTAATTTTTGTATGGAGCTTGAATTTTATTAAATGAGTGAGTTTTTTGTTTTTTATTTATTTTTTACATGAATTTTTTTCTTATCTAAGTTTAGAGTTAAATTATTTTTTTATTTCCAACCACAAATTTAACCGCTCCTTTCTCGGAAAATTAAAAAATGAAGGTTGATATTGTTAGTTAATAAATAATAAATAATTTTATTTTTTTCTTCTAATAGTTGTTTTGTTTTGGGTTCCGCAGAAGGCGGAGGAGTGAGATTTTGGCGGGCCTCGAACGCCAAAGCCTCTTTGATAGTCTCTGTCTTAGGTCCATCCCCCCTTCTCTTGAAATAATAAGTCCTTGTCTTCCCCTAATTACCTTTTTTTCATCTTACAACTTACATTTTCTCTCTCTCTCTCTCTCTTTTTTTTTTTTTTTATTTCTTCAATTGCAAGTAATCTTTATTTATTTATTTTCTTCTGATAGTTAAGTTGCATCTTTCGGGACGGATTAGAGTGAGAGTTTGACTTAAGAGATGCTAAAAGATGTGTGTTAATTTGTAAAGTTTGGGATTGACTAGACAATTCCAGACTCAATATACTCATACAAATCTACTCTCCTCATGTAATTTTCTTAAAACTTATATAAGCTTCTCTAAACCCTTCCCTGAAACTCTCATGCTTAATATGCCCTGCTTTGAGAGATGTCCAAATCTATAATCCCGTTTCTATCGGCTTTGAAAATAAAGATGCACCATGTTGGTATATGTAGTTAATTACTATCTTAGGATCACTCTCATTTGGATGTGGTGTCGGTTTTTCATGTACCCCTATACCCTTAAGGTGCACCTTCGAACTCTAAAGTATAGTGTGCTTGGCTTAGAGAAATTTTTTGGGGTTATCTCCCAAGGGATTTTCTTAAGAAGCATGTGAGTGAGGAGAAAATATGTTGAAATTGTTAAAAGAGAATTAGTGCAAACATGTGTTAGTTTCTTTCTTAATGTTTCCACATTTTTAGGAGTTATGTTTAGTAGTTAATTTCATAGTTGGGAGTTGATTAAGCTGTGGAAGAGCCCATGTAAGAAGGGAGAATTTGTAGGCTTAGTGGCAGTGGTGTTGGCTAGAGTGAATTCAGCGGACAATAGTTTAATTAGTGAATTACTAGTGTTCGGTTATCACTTTTCCTATAAACAAATATAACAATTCTTAATCCAATAAATAGAAGTTATTCCTCCATACAATTTCTCTATTTGCTTCGACTTTATTGTTCTCTTCATTTTTTCGTTTACAGAAAAGACCCATGTTGGCCCATAGGGACAGTCTTCACTCATCTTAGCCGCTCAGATCAAGAAAGGTGGTGCAACAAATTACCGAGGATGCAAGGTAATGTTGAGGTCATCGAGTGCCGAATCCAAATTCCAAATCTTGATTCAAATCCTAGGCTTGGGTGATTACCCACAATCAACCACTTTAGTATTTACACATGTCTTATCTTGAGGTACCAATTATCATATTAATTATCATATGGGGTATTTAAGAAAAACTTTTGAAATCATATAAATTATATTGAAATTAAGCTCAAACTAACTTCAATCTCGACTTAAATTCATTCTCTAATGAGAAATATAATCCAATATTATATAAGTTTATTTTTAGTACAACAAATGTGAGGATGAGGAATTGAACCTCCGACCTTTAAAGAATGAGTAAAATGTCTTAATCGCTTAGCTAAGCTCACATTGACATCCAAACAACACTATTTTTTTTCCATTAACAAACAAACAACAATAAATATTAAAAATTACTTATCAACATCAGTGCCACGTTAATTTTACAATATACTTGATCATAATCTCTCAAACTAGAGACTAAAATCAATAAAGTTTAATAATAAAAATTTGTAGAGTTGTAAAGAGAAGATAATTGTGAAAGTATGAAGATAAAAGGAAATTTTTAATTTTTCTAAAAAGTTACATTATAACTAACTTTTCTTTATTTATTAAATAGATGAGAGAAAAATATAATAGAGGGGAATGAAGGGTATTTTTTTAATTATATTATTCTAATAATTAAATATATTTAATGTCTTCAAATATTCATAGAGTTAATATCTCTAGGTAGTGGAGAAGCTAGATGGAATAGGGGTTATGGCCCCCCAAAAAAATCATGATTAATGTTTTAAAATTAATATATTAATATTTCGAAAAATTCCTAGTATTGTTTTTCATAATTAAAGTTTTGACCCTCATCAAATACATTTTCATTTAACATCTTTTTTCGACATGATATTTTTGGTGACATCCACTTTTTGTTAGTATTATAACTTTATTTTATTTATTATTGGTATATAGAGACTAAATTAAAACTTCTAGAGTTGAAATACCTTTTTTTAAAATAAAATTTCTAGACATTTATTTTTATTAATTTCAATTTTTAACTTTCATAAATTTTTTTTAATATTTTAATAATTTTTTTTAATACTAAGAGCGTGAGACTTTGAACCTCCAACTTTAAGGGAAAGAACATATCATCTACGACTGAATTATGCTCATATATTGGCTTCAATAATTTTTTATATATATAAATAATTTAATAAAAACTTATATTGATATTTCTTGTATACATTTATGGATGGATAGATAAATGTTATATCTAATAGGAAAAGTATTAAATTTTGAAGGTGATTTAAATTTTTTGTTAAATGATTCAATATTAAATAAAAACTACTAACAAAAATTAAAATAAGTTTYTAAACAAGTTTAGAGATCAAAGTAGAAACTTTGTAATAATTTTTTGGGCAAAATATATTTTTGGTCCTTGAGGTTTGAGATAGATGTTTACTTGGTCCTTGAAGTTTTAAAATAAACACTTTTGGTCCTTGAGGTTTGAGGTATGTGTCTAATTGGTCCATGAAGTTTCAAAATGAACAATTTTAGTTCTTGAGGTTTAAAGTAGGTGTCAACTTGGTAAGCTTTAAAATAAGTACTTTTGGTCTCTGAAGTTTGAGAAATAGTTCTAAATGGTCCCTGATTTTTTTTTACTGTTAATTAACTAATATTATAACAACGTGGCAAATTGCAATTAAATTGTTTATTGCAGTTGCTGATGTGACAAAATATATTAATTAAATGATATATGTTCGGTATGAATGGCAGACGATAGTGGCAAAGATGTGGTGGTCATCGGAAAAGGGTAAGAGAAAGAGGAAAAGATGACGAGAGGAGGAAGAAAACACCATCACCTACACATATATTATTTAATTAATATCATTTGTCACATCAACAACTACAATAAACAATTTAATTACAATTTGTCACGTCATTTTAATATTAGTTAATTAACAGTAAAAAAATGACCATTTAGAACTATTTCTAAAACTTCAGGGATCAAAAGTATTCATTTTAAAATTTCAGGGATCAAGTTGACACCTACTTTAAACCTCAAGGATAGAAAATGTTTATTTTGAAATTTTAGGGACAAATTAGACACCTACCTCAAACCTTAGGGACCAAAAGTGTTTTTAAAACTTCAAGGCTAAATAGACACCTACCTCAAATCAAAAATGTATTTTGCCCTAATTTTTCTAATTTTAAATTAGAAAATTTGAATGTGAGAGATTAAAATGGATAAAGATCTAACTAATTTAATTAAAATAAAGTATTCCTCAAATTAAGTTTGATTAAGACACAAAATCAATCAAGATCCCTAGGTTTTTGGTATTCCCGTTTTTAAATATTAAGCTTAGAAACACTATTTCACCTTTGTGCTCCTTTGTTTGTTGTATAATTTTTAAACATTTTCAAAATCTAGGCCAAAATTTTGAAACAAAAAGAAAAGTAGTTTTCAAATGCTTATTTTTATTTTTTGAAATTTGACTAAGAATTCAAATATAATTTCAAGAGAGGTGAAAAATTTACTAATGAAATTAAAATGCTTTATAATTCTAAAAAAGAAAAAACTTAACTCTAATATCATTTTTATATTAATTCCTATTTCATACCAAATATATATTTTATAATTGATTTGACAGAGGTAGTTTGATGAAATTAAAATGTTAAAAATTTGATACACAAATTTAAGATTAAAATTGATATGTCCTCATTATAATTATATAAATCTATACCTTCTGACATAAAATTTTAGATTTGTGACTGTATAAAACGAGGAGGACTCTCATGGAAAAAATGGTAATTAACCTAATTTTCCTTTTAAATTATTATTTTCTTTTGAAGGGTTAAAAAAAGATTTTACATTTGTAATGTCCAGGAAAAAATTATGAATGGAACTCAAAATTCGATGCATTGTTTGAGGGC